AGTGAGCTTGTGTGTGAATGAATTTTTCACTTTGCTATGCTCGATAAACAACTATGGAGAAATCTCACGGCTTTAAGGTAAAATGTTGAGCGATCAATTGCATGCAGACTACAACCATCTCATCCTATAAACAATTTCCCTCATAACTCACTGTTGACTAAATACTGTAAGGCAAAATTGTGCAAACAAGTAACTATGATACGATGGAAATGTTTGTGCTAACTGACAATAGAGCACCGGGACAGCTGTTTCATTCTGTTTGGGACTCGTCAGCAGTGCGTACTTTTTGTGTCCCTGTCAGACAGGACTCGAACCGTGAACACTCGGCTCAGGACTTCAAACCCATACCCCTGAGCTACATGGGTGACGGTCATCACCTTTTGCGAATGGCTCAATCAATCGCATTTGAATGCATTACCTTGTGGGAAATTAACGATCTCCCAAGGAGTGAAACCCACACCAAGACCATTAAAAGTGTCTGGTGCCTCTGAACAATCGAATGGGCTAAGCCAAGCTTGATACTCTAAAAAAATAACTCAGATAATCACGTGGCTTACTATTTTTCTGCTTTTGTTCGGTTCAGTTCAAATTTTACAACTATAAACCATGCATTTCCATGCGCAGGTTTGGTTACTGTCTTTTGGTTCCTGTTTTTATAGCAGTGTTGAGGGAACAATGGAATATTGCGAGCAGGGCCCAAGAAGATAGAGAATTCACAGGGGCCAAGTGAAATAATCGTAGTAGTAGTACTAGTAGTAGTATTAGTATTATTAGTAGTAGTAATACTCAAGGAACTCGGAACACAAATCACGCAACAGGAACCATAGCACACGAATCAAGGATCAGCTATCACGGACTGGATCACAGAAGCACTGGACCACAATGGCACTAACACACATCGTCCCACGTAACTGAGACTCGAGGAAAAGGCCAAAGGAATGGTAGTTCGTTTATTGGAAGAAATGAGGGCGATTAAATAATATGTACAAAAGAGGATCATTAGTTATCTAGGCTTCCATCAATCGTATTGCAGTATTACTTTCATGATTCTGCTTCCGTCTGGACTGCACTGTCTCGGTTCGGCTGACGCGATCTGCCTATGGCGTGTACTCAGAAGACGTGACACGTACGCGCGTCATTGTCGTCACCTTTGAAATTTGATTGATCGCTGGTGTCCAGAAACTGTAACGCGCCGCTCCAAAGTAGGCGTTATCACCTAGGCTTGGATCACCACACCAAGGTTGCGAAGATAATGAGTTGATGCACGAGCACCACAGTTTGCGACACCCAGCATGTCAGTCAGTACCTCGAACCCCCGGTAACCATACCCCTGGGTTCCCATCCAGGTAGCATAACGCTACTTATGTGATCCAATGTCTTGGTTAGGTTTGATATACCCTAAAGCTGTCATAGCTTGACCGCCATTGAGCTTTTTCTATCTACTAACTACCTCGCCAAAGAACGCTCGCCTTGGCAGCCTATTTGATCATGTATGTAACACATGTCCCAACCAACCTAATCGATGGAGGTCGACCACTCACTTCAATGTGTGACCATTGTTACCCAAAACTCTGCACCTAACCTCAGTATTGCTCGTCCGGCTGTCCCACCAGATTTGTGCAGTAAACAGCGGTGTTCAAACACTGACAGTCTACCTTTATCCTGTTTTCTCAATGGCCAAGTTTCCGCACCGTATGGCAAAACAGGCCGAACCGTTGCAGCATAAACTTAATCCTTCACAGAGAGCCGGATGTCTTGACGGTGCCACAGATGTCTCAATTTGGCACATGCTAACCGAGGCTTCTGTATGCGACCTGACAATTCATCCCTGATGTGTCCACCTGGATGGGCTATAACTTCCGAAATAACAAAACTTGTCCACTAGCTCTATTACATTTCCAGTTAGAGTGAGGCCGGGTGTGGGACCAACACAGTCTTGTAGCAACATTCTGCACTTTGAAGGTAAATAGAACGTATACCAAACATGGTTACACTCGCAATCAAACTATCCACACAAAAAATGCGAATTATCCAGCAACACATGCAACTTACCTGGACCTTCAATTTGCAGCATACTCAAGATCAGACAGTCTACCATCTGACAGAAATTCACTGTCGCTATCCTCGCACGAGGATAGGACTATCTCCACAAACAATCATGTGAAAATATTCAAATGGAAATGGTGAGAGAGAGAGAGAGGGTAACCCTGACAAACATCACTTTTTTGGTGAAATCGGGTGAAAAATTGCTGTAAGCGCAGACTCGGCTTCGGCCGTTCTAGACAGAGATCAAAAAGTGAAATAAACGTTTCGGGAGCAGTCTTTCGAGATAGAAGCAGCTCTAGTTGGTGGTTCTATGGATAATTACGATTTTCCTCGCAATTGGTAGATTAAGGTATGTGTTTACCGTAGTCTACTAAAGGATTCAACCATTTGATAACAAGTTGACATCTCTAGAACTGCATATCAACAAGAGTTATTTTCAAACAACCATATTACGTAATGCACTTTATCGATTTAATATAGATAAGTAGTAAATGAAGGATGTTAATCCTCCTTGGTCATTTAGTGCCTTAAACTATCTTGTGTGGTAGATTGACTTCTTCTATTTAAATGGTAAAAAATACGTTTTCTTCTCGATGGGACTCGAACTCATGCGTGGGCACTGCCCACATATCTCCGTACAGTGCACGCTTTACTCGATCAGTTAGAAAACCACATTAGTAATGTTTTGCCTAATTAATTAGGTTTTAAATTTAAACTTTAGAAATGCCGTTTTCCATTTCCAATCTGTCTATGGCTTCGGAAACGAGACCATATTCGCGAATACACTCCAATCCTCTTTGAGCACTAAAACGATTCTCAATCACGTTGACAGGTAGGTTGTGGTAGTTCACCCGTTTGAGTTAGACCCAGAAACTCCGTGAAGTTGCGGTTTTATCAAAAAATAAATGATACTCGTTTGACTTACTTGCTTGTCATTAGTGATGGGATAGTTGAGATGGATTGATTGGAACTAACTTCACCTTCCTGCACATTCTTCGGCTCTTCCAGTCAACCATACACTCAGAAGCACCATAGACTCGAGTTTCATTCTTCATCAGTAGAATATATTCACCGTCCCGTGCAGGTTTTGAACACCAAACCCATTACATGGAAGATGTATGTGTCACCATTGTTCTAACCAGCTCATGCCAGGACTCTGAAGATGACATCTGAACAAAAATAAATTGGTAATTCGATTCAGCCATGGCATGGGTTAGTTGGTCACACATACATCT